CCAGCTCACTGACATCATCGGTTGCCAAGGAGCTGAGCGGGACGCTCTGGCTGGAGACCCGCTGAGCTCCTGGCAACCAGTGACGTCAGTGAGCTGGGCAGAGACCGGAGAGAGAGCCGCTGACAGCACGGCTCAGCTCTACTGCCTCAGGCGGCATATAGGGAAGGGACAGCCCTGCATAAGGTCCAATAGTTGGTTCCCTGAGTGACCATTTTACAATGCTGCACATAAAGCATATACATTTCCTGCATGTTCACAAGGACAGGTCAGGAGAAAAGGCACAGCAATAGTTACACAATCATCAGTCAGAATAAGTTGTACTGGGATGATTCAAGGTCACATGTAGAGGCTTAGAAGAAAAACCCAGAGTCCTCCACATTCTTCTTCACGTGGAGTGTATTATAAACCTGCCAGAAATGAACTCCCCACATCATATCACCTAATAAGATTGGAATGAAGCACTGTCACATTGCCATATTGGACATAATATCGATCTTTCTGGATAGCACATTCAACGTTACAGACTCAGTTGGCGCTATTTGGAGGTTTATGGCGCCAAAAAGGCTAAGGACGCCCCTGACTGTAGGGAGGCCCCTAACTGCAGGCAGAACGTTTTATGGGGGCACTAAGGCCGTGAAAACGGCATCTGCCCGCGTATACGGTGGGTAGAATGTTTTGTAAATGAAATCCCTACGGCCCCATTCACATTGAGTGATTCGCAAATTGCGCGTTTGTCGCGCGATTTGCATTTTGCGCGATATTGAGCGTTTGTCGCGCGATATCGCGCAAATGTTTGCATTGAGCAAGCTAGAATGGCGGCAAAATCCGCTCCAAAAAGGGTCCTGCTGTAGCGACGCACGATCCGCGACAGCGACGGACAGAGCCCCATTGAGATGCATTGGAGAGCGATATCGCGCGGTAAATAGCCACGATATCGCGGGAATTACCGCGCGATAAATCGCTCAGTGTGAATGGGGCCTAAAACTCTTAGGCTGGGTTCACACCTAGGCGTGTTGAATATACGCGTTTGTCGCGCGGTTCACGGTAAAAAAACGCGCGTTTCCGTGGGCTAATTGGCTGTATCCCAATGGAAACGCGAGACCAAAACGCCCCAAAGAAGTCATTGTACTTCTTTGGGTGAACCGTTTTGTATCGCGTTCGGACGGGCGGAAATACGGCAAGGTGTGAACCAGACCCATTGAATACAATGGGATTTAGATGTTTGAGCGTTTTGAAGAGCGTTCGTCGAGCGTTGAACGCGCCACAAAACGTTCAGGTGTGAACCAGGCCTTAGGGATAGTTCACACGAGCCACAGTGCGTTTCTGGCCCGATTGCAATGGATCGCATTGTGGCCGGAGCTGGAGCTGGATTTATATTTCCTGCTACTGGACCATTTGAGTAAACACAGGAACCCAGCACTACGGGAGGGGGCGTAGTGCCATTGGCCGCACGGGAACGCGCGGCACATCAGTGCCTGCGGTCCGGTCAGAAAAGATGCTGCAAGCACAATTTTTTCTGACCGGACCACAAGCATTCCCATGCGGCTGATCACACTGCAGTCAGAGGGCGCGGCTGCGGTACCATTGAGTTCAATACACCACCACTCCCCCTCCTGCCCCAACACAAAGTGAGCCGGCTGCAATGTGATCCAGTCTGTTCTGGCCTCAATCGGGCCCAGAACGCACTGTGGCTGGTGTTAACTCGCCCTTAAAAAATTTTTTATTTCAGAGGCGCTGGGTTCCTGTGTTTACTCAAATGGTCCAGTAGCAGGAAATATAAATAAGCTCACTGGCTCTGGTCAGGCAGCTCCCACACATAACAGGCCACCCTTGTTGGGTACCCAGAAGCGAGCAATATTTAGAAGTAAAGTGCACCAAACAACCCGGTTGCTGCGTCAGCCTGTAAGATTGTTCCTTTACAATGTTTCATATCCCGATAAACGAATAAACATTTTGTAAAATAAAGGGCGCCAAACAGGTGAAAGAATCCAAAAATGCCTTCAATTGTTCACAAATCACACAAACAAAAGCAGCCAATGCGTTTCAGAGGCAACAGCACTCTCCCTTTATCAGGGCTTAGAATGGGATAAGGATGTGATTGGATTCAGATGAAACTATAACCAAATGGATAAACTTATATATAGCAGGGGTAGGCGACCTTGGTACTCCAGCTGTTGTGGAACTACAAGTCCCATGAGACCTTGCAAGACTCTGACAGTCACAGGCATGACTCTCAGAGGCATTATGGAATTTGTAGTTGCAGCACGACTGGAGTGCCAAGGTTGCCTAACCCTGCTATACTGTATATGATTTGATATACAAAAATCTCCTTTATGGGTAGAATTGTAAATGGCAGCAGCGGAACTTTAAAACTTTTCTTCCTTGCATGCACTACTTGTTTAGCTGCAACGCGGCCGGAGCTGCATCTTTCAGAGAACATCATGGTAGAATCACACAGTAGTTTATTGAGGAAAGACGAGGATTTAAAAAGCTTGAACAATTTTTTGATAAAGCTTGCAGTATATGGGATTTTAGTCATTGCGTTCACATCAGGACTGAGCAAACTCCGGCCCTCCAGCTGTTGTGGAGCTACAAATCCCACGAGTCTTTGCAGAATTCTCACAGTAACAGATATGACTCCCAGAGAGAGATGCATCATGGGATTTGTAGTTTCACCACAGCTGGAGGGCTGAAGTTTGCCCATCCCTGGTCTCACCCGTCTCGACTCTTATCCAGAACTCCAAAAAAAGCCTTTACATCGATTTTAGACATGTTGGATTCGTTTCGTAAAGATTCGTTATTTGGACAAATTTCCATTATTCGGAGGTTCAGATATATCTAGCGCCCCCCCCTCCCTCCGCCTTACCAGGCCATGTGCCCTTGGCATTAGGTTGTCCCCATGCCGATGGAGACAAGGACCTCTTCCCCACAACCCTGACCCGGTGGTCATGCTATTCGTGAGCTCCCGAATGCCATTCGGGTCTGTGAGCCGAGGTGTCCTATGAATAGTATTATGACACCTTGTCTCAGACCTGAATGGTATTCGGGAGCTCCCGAATACTATTGTGTTATGACAGCTGAGAATGTCAAATGGGCGGGAGTCCCATGACGTCACGGCTCGCTCCGCCCATTTGTTTACATTATGGCCAGAGATGTAATTTTGCGGCAAGTCTTCGGCGGGGTCGGATGCGTCGCTCTGACTTTTTATTCGGCGAGTCGCCAGGCGTCATTCATCATGACTGATGTTGGGTTACATCAATGCAGCCATTTTCTTTTTTTTAAATAAAGGAATTGTCAAAAACTGACTCTGGTTTTTTTTTTCAATTAATGGATTTTTTCTAAAAGTGTGCTGTATTTATTTACATTTTAGTTTAACCCTTCCCCTGGGAAACGAAAATTCGTACATACTACCGCTAACGAATTTCAGCCAAATCCCGAAACGAATTGACTTTCGGACCCGAATCCTGAAAAAACGTGAAATCCGAATGAAAACGAAACACACATGTCTAATCACTTTAAACACTTCTCTGCCTTTTGGCTAAGATGAAGTGTAGCATTTGTTCTTATCAGTGTTCAGGAGGGGAATACGCCGCTGTTCTGGCCTTTTGGCAGGAACGGCTGCCTGCAGAGTACCCTGACTGAGATGATGAGGGTCCTAAAGGGTTCTGGCCGTGGGAAGGAAACCGAAAGGAGCATTCACTCACGAAAGAGTGGGGTCGGGAGTACTTCCCTAGTGTCCGGTATCTGGCGGGGGCCCTGTGCCTCCTGATTTGAACAGGACTACCTTGTCTGGTCGTGGGCTGGGAAGGCACAGAGCCTGCGGTGTCAAGTACCCATGGGAATGGCGACCCAGGGAGTGACTGAGTAACACTTATGGGTTTGGGACCCCACTAGTGTGAATGGCACATTGGTCACCACACTTAATGCTTCTTCCTGCACCTCGCTTCTTGGGCTGGACCTTTTGGCTGAATACTGGGGTCATTTTTATACCGGGCCGCAAGGCCTAGCGATTGGATAGCACAGTGGCACTTATTTATGTTTCTCACTTTGTCTGGGCTCCTGTCACTTTTTTCACTCCCACAAGGATGGAGGGTGTAGGTCTTCAGGCCTGCCCTGAAGTCTAGGGGTAGGATGTGTGGCCATCAGGTTCCTTCCTCTTCTCTCTTCCGGAGAGCCCCCCAACCTAGTACTCGGTGGCCGGCTCCCACTGGCCATGGGGAATGGGTCCGCCTGGTTTTCGGGTCAGGTGAACACAAGTGCCTTGTCTCTGTCAGAAGCCCTGCGCCCCAGAGGGCGTTCGATTGCACGCATCGCAGGCTTTATAAATAAAGCAGAAAATTAAAAAAAGCAGAAGTAACTGTTTTGAGTGATAGACTGAAAGGCTAGTTATGCTTTACATGGTGGGTTTCTATTCTTCTGTCACAGTGACTGTAGTGTGAGATCGTAGTGCAAAGCCCCGTTTACTTTGCTGCACTTTGAAATGGCCGGAAGCAACGCTGCTCGACTATACAGCTTTGCTGGTTATGTGCACCATAGTGAACCCTAGTGTCACCGAGTGTAGGTAGTTTGGTGCAAAGCGTCGCTGGTGATCGGGCTTGTATATAACCACTATGTGTGCGACCCAGCTACGAGAAGCTCATGGTGATCACGCCATTGAAACGCATTACGCGATCCACTTATTATTTCTTGGCACCGAGGCTGACAAGAGGCCCCTACTGAGCTGTTGCCCTGACAACGCATCCCGGGCCGCCCCTGTCAATCAAGGGCAGGCCCCGCCCCGGCACCTATCGTGACGTGGACACGTGAATCATTGCCTCTCTCTCTCTCTCTCCCAGCCCACGCCCGCTTAGTCACTCACACGGACAGGGAAGGGGGGCGGGAGCGGCACGCGCCGCTTTTAGCCACACCCAGACCGCCCGCCCCCCTACTGGCGACCGCTTCCGAAAGCCGTCCAATGAGGACGGGCGGGGGGCGCGGCCTGAGAGAGGCAAGGTTGGAGGAGACTGATCGGCGCTGCATTCACTGACAGCTCTGTGGTCGGAGCAGCTGTGCTGCCAGGGCTCTGAGCAAGGGGGTGGGATGCTTCGCCGTGATTGGCTGCTGATTGTCGCTCGGAGGACTCTGATTGGCTGCTGAGCAGCTGGGCAGGTATGTGCGTAGGAGGAGGGAGGGTAATGGCGGACGTTGGCTGCGGGGGTCTCCGTGTCCGGAGCGAGAGGATCTGAGCTGGAGGGGATTAGTCATTAGCGGCCACCCGGTTGTGTGAGGAACTACAAGTCCCAGCGTGGGGGAGGAAGAGGAGGCACGCTGGGATTTGTGGGTGCTGTAGCCGCTGCGGGCTGCCCGGTTAGTTTGCGGGTGCTATTTGTTAAGTGACGGTTAGTCTGTCCTTTTATAGAGCCTTCCAGATCCGATCCGTGATAGATCGGTCATGTACTGTGACAATGCTGCATGCCCTAGGGACAGAAATAATCCCAGGACAATGCAGTTATAGAAGATGCCTGACATAGACATGGGGGGCATATGAAATAATTATTTGTATAGTTCTGTAATCACAAATGATCAATGATTATAACCTGAGGTCCATTCCACCCAAAACAACTGGACCTGACACTTCCTGCAATAGGGGGAAGTAATGTGACAAGGATACATTCCCCTGTCATGTACAATGTATCGAACGAGAATCCCATGCATTGGCTGCCCATCATATTCTCATCACCGCCATCAGGACTCAGCAAAGTTCTGATCTGGGGGGCAACGGTCCATTAATACCCCATCGCTCGTCCAGAATAATAGACCGCAATTGATGGAGGTGCCCTCCGCACACCTTTCAGCAGTCCCGGCCAACAATCAAATAAATGGTGCTCGAAGTAACTTCACGGATGGCACCGTGCAAAACACAAGATTGAAGAAAATAGGTCACCAGCACTCCATAAGTTAAAATGAATGAGTCCTTTTAATGGACAATGATGTCACAGAAATCCAACATGAGCCGACGTTTCGGGGCCACACAGGGTCCCTTCTTCAAGGCAAGAGATGTGACGAAAAAGGACTCATTCATTTTAACTTATGGAGTGCTGGTGACCTATTTTCTTCAATCCAGAATAATAGACCGTCTCACCGTCATGGAGGGTCTGTTGGCTTTGACATCCTCCTGCTTGCCTATATAACCTCCTAGTCCTAGTGAGCATGATGTTCTGCTGGTTAACGGGGTCACGGCTTACTAGCAATGGCTTCCGAAGACCATTTAGATCAGGCAAACTCTGCCAAACCCCCTCCCCCGCTGTTGTGGAACTACAAATACCACAAGGCATTGCAAGCCACAGGCAATGACTCTTAGAGACATGCATCATGGGATTTGTAGTTGCTCCACAGCTGGAGGGCCAAAGTCTGCCTGCCCCTGGTTTAAAGTAGATGCTTTTTTTCTTCTGCCTTTCATTGTTTGTTAAGGCGAAGTTCACCCGGATGGTAAAAACAGTCAGGTGGTCCGTGTTTTTTACCGACCGCATACCTACAAATTAACATGGCGGCTGCTAGGGCCATGGTGGCTACGATGCAGTCTTCCTACAAATTAACATGGCGGCTGCTAGGTCCATGGTGGCTAGGATGCCGCCTGCCTACAAATTAACATGGCGGCTGCTAGGTCCATGGTTGCTTGGATGTCACCTGCCTACAAAATAACATGGCGACTGTTAGGTCCATGGTGGCTAGGATGCCGCCTGCCTACAAATGAACATGGGGGCTGATAGGTCCATGGCGTCTAGGGTAGCAACCGCATGGCAAGCGTGTCTGTATTTTAATGTAAACCCCTCATGGGCACTCAGGAGGCAGCAGGAATCACCTTAACACCCGTGAACCAGCATTCAACTATCCCTGAAAAGTGACCCACCACAGAACACTTTTTAGAGGGGTGGTAAAGTCTGCCACGTGTGTGAATGAGACCTAAGGGACACAGGATCGATTAGTATTGCACCTGTAGGCAGCAATATAACCCGGTGGTCTCAGAATTCTTCTGCTCCTGTGTCCTTGAATGAACTTCAGGAAACAGATTTTACAACGAATACAAAAACCCTGTTTTTCTTGCTTTGGCAGGGAAGAGTTAAAACCCGGTCAGATTTTTATTTTGACCGCGTCCCATTGGGGAGATTTCACTGTACTTCCTGTCCCATAGATACAACAGGAAATAAGAAAAAACATCTAAAAAAAATTAGGGAAATCTGGCTGTAGAAAGTTGTCACTGTAACAAGTGTCAGAAGACTTCCTCTTTTTTTTCATGTTTTAATGTCGGCTCAAAATTCTAGATGTTTTATAACTTTGTTGTCACCAAGGCAATCCGAGTGAATCTCCTCGGTGGGGGACACTGTATTGATGGGTCCGGAATCTTCCTTACTCTGTTCAAATGCAAACAAAAGTTTTGCCTTTGGGTACTTTAATTTTCGGAGGGGATTGAGAGGCTCTTTTATGTGAAAGTCACCAGACTGAGATATTACTGGGCTACAAAGAAGCAGCAATAGGAAGGATAGAACCTCTCGTAGAGTGAACCTTTCCCCGTCACTGTCTTCCGTTGTGTCAGATCTCAACATACAGATCATGTATGTGAGGCAGCGCGTACGTCGTGCTGCTCTCTACGGATGAGTAAGTGGCGGAGGCAGTATGGAGTAGTCACTGCAGAGGGAGGGGGACCTGCTGCTCGCTTATGGAACATCCAGTTAACTGTAAATCTCAATTGCCGTTGCCCCCATTTGCGTTTGACCGATGTATGTGCGCGACCTTCTTATGAAATGCACATATACAGCGGGCTTGTGAAATGTAGAGGCGACTTTTCACAGTCTTCATCTTCCGCTGTTATATATATTCAGTGGACGACCTTTAGGATCGGTGTATGAGTGGTAGAGGGGAATAGTAGTCCCTTTTGTTGGGAGACAGTTTGATCTTTCTTCTTGACAGACTTAAGGAAGATGTTGCTTGTGTTATATATCTGTTACCATGAACATTAATGGGTTTAAAGCGAAAGGAGGACTTGTGCAATCCAGTCTCTAGTATCAGAGGTCAGCTGGGGATATCACTTACAGGTTATATCATGCAAGCGCAGTGTCAGAGCCGCGGGCTTGTATAGATGCTTATGATAAGACATTCATTAAATAGATTTAGAAAAATGGAATGTTAGTATCTCAAAGTGTAACAAATCCATCATTTAGATTTCAGCACTTTGTTAATATGCCTATGGCTGACACTTACAACTCTGTCTATTGATGTCCCTATGGTGGACTTATATAAACCCGTCCATGGCAGACCCCTATAACCCCGTCCATTACTGTCCCTATGGCAGACCCCTATAACCCCGTCCATTACTGTCCCTATGGCAGACCCCTATAACCCCGTCCATTACTGTCCCTATGGCAGACCCCTATAACCCAGTCCATTACTGTCCCCATGGCAGACCCCTATAACCCAGTCCATTACTGTCCCTATGGCAGACCTCTATAATTTGGTCCGTCGATGTGCCTGTGGCAGACCCCTAGAACTCGGCCCGTCCATGCGCCTGTGGCAGACCCCTAGAACTCGGCCCGTCCATGCGCCTGTGGCAGACCCCTAGAACTCGGCCCGTCGATGTGGCAGACCCTATGGCTAACTCCATATATTCTCATGTAGCAACAGATATGATGGTCATCTGTTGTGCAAATGATCACAGATCCCCCAGTTGGTCTTTTTTTTTTTTCTTTGGTCCTTCCTTGCTTTTTATGGCATGGCAGAATAATACAAATAGTATTTATTTTGCAAAATGGAAAACACCTAAAGAAGAAAACCATACTGTATAGATTGAGGGCAGGTTCACACCATTTTCTGGACCAGACCTGGAAGGCAGTGCATTGCGTTTTGCTGCGTTAGGAAAAAAAAAATCCAGCTTAAAATGGTCTTATGGGTGTGTTCTGGTGTGTTTGTATGCATTTATGCTGTGTTTCTATGCATTCCAGACCAGACAAAATAAGACAAGCAGTATTTTTCTGGTCTGGAATGGACTGCGCTGGTGTGAACAGAGGCCAGAAATAGCATGGGGATACATTAGGATGCATTTTCGGTCTGGAAACAATCTGGTCTGGAGATGATCCGGACATGGTGTGAATGGGCCCTGGGAGATCAGGGGAGGGATGAATAAAGCATGCTGAGCACACTTCTAGACCCCCTCGTTGCTTCAGACTGGTTCCTAGAGCAGCCACACTGTGTTCCATGATATCCCTGAATGCTGGAGGTTCTTCTATAGACTCTTATCGATCTGACATACATTGTAGGGACATTTCAGATCAGGACCCAGGTGATGGAAGCCCTTCAAGTTGGGGATTTGCAGTTGCAGGACCCAGGTGATAGAAGCCCTTCAAGTTGGGGATTTGCAGTTGTTCTGTGATTTTTTTTTTTTTTTGACTGGCGAATAAATATTTCTTGGTGACTGTGAGTAGTCTGCGCTAATGCATTGCCATTGTGTCAGCGAATGAGCCATCTGCTCCAAGTCCTTTTGCATTAGTCTTGTAGGATATTGGCCCTGGGGCTGTTATAGTTGGACACAGCGTACTCTTGGTGTGAAAAGGTGACAATGTTGTGTGTGTGTGTGTGTAGCTGAGATGCATGTATTTTTCTTTGTGTGTGAGTCACGATACAGAAAATGAAAGAATTTGAACCATGTCATCAATGAGTCATTTTACGAGACATAGACACGACCAGTGTGTGGAGTGTCGCTCTTTACCTGTTACACTCCATGTTAACACAGAATGTTTACTACAAGTCCTGACAAGTCCTGACCTTCATTACAAATTGTGTCGGGTCAGCAGAATATAAAATAAATGGTGCTTATATGTTCCTTTTAATACTACATGTGTTTTTGTTTTTGTGTTTTTTTGTAAATGGTTCCTTGTTTAGAAGCTGAGACTCATCATAGCTTGTCTTATTTTTACAGACCCATGTTGGCCAAAGGAATCAAACGCAAATTTTCGGAGGTGGAAGGGCAGATGGGGAGTGGCGTAGAATCGGGAATGGCTGGGCGATGCCAGAGCTCATTGCCTGCAGTGCAGTCTCACTGTTTAATGAACATATCACTACTGAAGCTTCATCGTAGCCTGCACCACGTGGAGCCTAACCTGAGACATCTCGTACTGGTGGCCAACACTTTACGTCGCCTTCAGGGTAATATGCAGGCAGAATCGAGCACTCTAGGAGGGTGGAAGCCCGTGGAAGACAACTCTAGAAAAGACTCTCAATCATTCACCAGCGAGAGCAAAACCTCAGCTTCGGATATTCCAGGAGAAGATACCTTGCTTTCCAGCATGGATTCTTCTTTGTACTCCTCCATTTCCACCATACTGGAGGATTTAAATGATTTTGAAGGACTGAGCTCTTCTCCACTGCCTCAGACAGAAGACGAACAGCTTTGCTCTCCAAAGGACTTCATCAGAGATGGGAGTCGAGAGGAATCTGGGAAGCTGACACCTTCCTCCTCCTTAAACTCCTCTACCTACCTTCTTGGGGACAACCTTGAGGACATTTTTGAAGACATTGACACATCTATGTATGACAGCGATCCCTGGCCGAGTAGCAGCCTTTTAAACTTTAAAACATTTTCCAGCATAAACGATCCCGAGGCGAAATCTTTGTCAGATGGACAAGATTCCATGCTGGAGCTTAGCGACTTGGACTATCTGATGGACGTTTTGGTGGGAACTCAAAACTGCTGATGATCTCCGTAGGACATTTTGAAGGACACAAATTGTATCTTGTAACAAGACACTATTGTAAATAACAGACCTTTTAATTTTATTTTGAGCAGATGAACTTAATTGTTTTTATGGGGGGGCATTATTATCCGCAGACACTGTCAAACAATCCCATAAAAAGTGTAAGTGCAGAATACAAGTTTACCATCATGAAATACATCAAAGCTGGCCACGATCTAATCGGTTGTAAACCTAGTTGCATAAAAAAATTGAAATCTATTCGTGTAAAACAGACCATCAGTTTAACAATATTCTTTTCACTTTTATACTTTTTAAGCTTTTTCAAAAAGACTTCTGCACCAGGAAAATAATTTTATAAATTTCCAATTACAACACGGTTTGTAGAGTACCATCTTTTGAATGAAACCACAAGGAAGCTATTAGGACACTTTGCCCCATCATATATACAATGTATATAAAAGGCATATATGTAGAGAGATATCAATATATATACAAATATATATATTTTTAGACTAATTTAAATCTAAAGGTTTAAAATTTGCCTTAATCATTCTACATTTCTATGTATCGCTTTTGGGCTCGCTTTGATTTCTCTCACCATACTGGTGTTGGTGTGCATGCGTTTGTATTAATTGATATGTCCAGTAAAAGCCATACGTTTTTTTATTTATTTAAATCTCTGAAAAATTGAATGCTGGCTGTCAATTTGACCATCTGCCACAAACTGAGGTTTTAAAACTTCATGGTTTTCTAAATAAAGAAAAATTGTGGAAATAAAGCAATATTATTTTTATATTTGCGCGGCGATGGGTCAAAAAAAGCCATATCTGTCTTTCCTCAGCCTCTCTTCAGGGTGCCATTGGTCCAAATGATTGGTTTCCTGGAAAACTACTACAATGGCCAGTACTGTTACCTCATTTTAATGGTTTTCTTGGTATTTATTTTAAAGTCTGTCTTGCCTTTCTAGTATTGATGAAGTATTAGCAAGGTAAGTCTCCATGCACAGTACGGGGGCTCCAGAACACTGAGACGAGTAATGTACATTTTTTGTCTGTGCTTCTGCCTCGGAAATATTTGGTGATGGTATTTATTGATGTTACTTTGTCAGAAGTGATTTTGTTTGTAATTTAATGCCTGAATTGTCTCTATTATTTATCCTTTTTTGGTGAGTATTTATGATTGAAATAAAACAGAATTTCTTAACTAGATTTGTTCATTGGTTTGATTTTGTTCTTCTTACCCAGAGACAGACACCATAGGCACAGTTCTTCAAATTGCTAATTTTACCCTTTCGTTGCCAAGGTGTTTTTTGCACACATGTTATAAACCACATTTTAGTCCTGAAAATTACTTTAAACCCCCAAAACATATATTTTCTGCAGTTAAAGTCCCTTTTAGAATAAAATGTTGGCAGTTGCAAATTTTTATGTCGCATGATATTAGCGCAACTCTTTATCAAACTGAAAATTCCAGTAAAAAATACACCTAGTGTAAATTTTAAAGCCCAAAAACAGATTTTAAAAAATACTTTTTTTGGGTAAAATGAGTAAATACCCAACCTGCCCGGGTTAAACATTTGCGTGCGTCCGTGAAGCAGTAACAAAATACGGCACCTCATATTGTCCATACGCTTTAAAAGCCCCCCCCCCCCTACAGGTAATCAGTTTAGAGAGATCCATTAATATTGGCCCTAGAATTATTGCTCTCTCTGGCGCACGCAGCGACAACATGTAGCGCATTCATCATTTTGGTACGTAGATGCACTCTACGTATGTTTACATTGATATGACACGAGGGCATGGTCCGCTTGTTTTTTAACTTAAAGTATCATTAAAGGCTCCGTTTTTTTTTTTGTTTTTGTTTTTTTTGTGCATATATCTACTTCTAGCAAGCAGTAGATACATGCAAAAACTGTTAATTTTAAACGCTTTATAACAGAGGTCAATACTTGTGTCTTCCCCACGCGCTCCCGTCCGAAAATGTGAAAATTCTCGGGCGGCCGCAAAGCATCTTGGGGCGGGCGCATGCGCAGTTCACATTTTCAGCCGGGAGACAAGGAAAGACACAAGGTAAGTCAATGGACGCGTGGGACAGGAAATGCCAGCAAGCACAGAGGAGTCGGCACTGGATCGGAGACCCGTAGCAACGCTGGAGGGACAGCTGAGAACGACAGGAAAGAAGAAGATCGGATTAAGAAACCTAATTTAAGTTCTTTAACATTGGGGGAGGGATTTTTTTTTTTTTTTTACTTTAATGTCACTTTAATTGCTATATAACAGGGCCTACAAGCCCCATGTGCGATAGCCTATTAGTGGGGACAGGTTCTCTTCAAGGTGTTGTCAGCTCCCCAGTTTCTTCCACCGGGGAATAACAGCTGGGCGACCAGAAGTATTGCAATTAGCGTCGCTTCCGGCAACATTCAGCGGCGAGGAGATCGGCCAAAGGATGTTCGCCAATCTCCTTTCCCGCCGACGCCAGTGATGCCCACTCTAGGAACAATGAACGTATCCAGGTTAAAGCAGTTATACATTGTTTCCACAAATGCAACCCGCCAGCATGCCAGCTTTACTCTACATCAGGCAAATCTGTCCATTCACATGCAGGGATTTGTACAGCTCTTGTTGTGCTTTTGGCCAGCTCAGATGTGGGTGCTGCAGGCCCATAGACTCCAGCGCTACGGTTGCATCTCCTCCTGGCCATTCGCAAAACAAAGCACGGGGCGTTTTGTGCATGGCTTGGAGGGGAGGAAGGCAGAGAGACAGCCATAGAGCTGGAGTCCATGAGACCCTTTAGCTAGAAGTACAACGGAAGCTGTATGAACCCTGGAATGTATACTAAATGATTTGCTGGATGTAGAATAGAGCCTGCATGATTTGTGGTTGGGGGGGTCTTTTCTGGACTGGGAAAAGCAGAACAAGGGGCCAAGCAGCTGTTCTGCAGTGCCCATGTACTAATAACGGACATCCAAATAGTAGGAGAGAGCAGTGGGATAGAGAGAGATGAGCTCATCAGTCTGATGCTTCTCTTTTCACTGTCCAGTCACATGCTGGGAGAGGGACAAGAGTTGGGGTTTGCATGCAGTAGAAATAAACTGGCCGGGAAGCCAGCTCTATGCTCCCTAGTGACAAGGTAATAGATCACTCTTAATAGATCTCCGCTGTACTGAGATACATACCAAAGTAATAACAATAAAGTGCGTCATTAAAACAAAACCTTCCTAAACAATAAATTAACAATTAAAAAGCCCACTGTCCAGAAACAAATCCCCTTAAGACCACTACGGTATATTGAGAGGGGAAGGGTAGTCAGAATCAGGATCTACACGTACGATAATATAATGGTAATTTAGAGTGCCAACGACCCCACACTTTTTAATAATAAGCTGGACAACCTCTGTGTGCATAGACCAGTTTTTTATAAGGTAAGCCAGAATTCAAAAGCCTCTGCCACTGTTGATCCTGTCAGAAACCAAGGGTGCTCCTAACTTCCTGCCTATCTGACAAATCCAAAGTATTGTTTCAACCCTGCTCGAGTCTCTTCCAATGGATTAAATAACAACTCCTCCCTATGTTGAGTAAGTGTTTTGTAGTCAACCAGAAAAGAACTGGGCAGGGCTGACAACTAGGGATGCATCGATACGAGTATTTGGGCGAGTACTCGTACTCGCCCAAATGCTCCTGATGCCTATCACAATACCAGATCTTCCAGGATCAGGAAGACAGGTGGCAAGTAATTACACACTGCCTGGCTTCCTGACTGGCCAGGAAGACGTCTCCATGCTCCCTTGTTACCAGGAAGCATAGAGCTGGCTTCCCGGCCAATTTTTTTCTACTGCACGCAACCCCCAACTCTTGTCCCTCTCCCAGCATGTGACTGGACAGTGAAAGGAGAAGCCTCAGACTGATGAGCTCATCTCTCTGTCCCCCTGCTCTCCTACTATTTGGATGTCCCTTATTAGTACATGAGCACTGTAGAACAGCTGCTTGGCCCCTTGTTCTGCTTTTCCCAGTCCAGAAAAGACCCCCCCAACCACAAATCATGCAGGCTCTATTCTACATCCAGCAAATCATTTAGTATACATTCCAGGGTTCATACAGCTTCCGTTGTACTTCTAGCTATAAGGTCTCCGGTCTCAAGAACCCCAGCGCTATGATTGTCTCTCTGCCTTCCTCTCCTCCAAGCCATTCACAAAATGCCCCATGCTTTGTTTTGCGAATGGCCAGGAGGAGAAGGATGCGGAGATGCGACCGTAGTGCTGGAGTCTATGGGCCTGCAGCCCTGCATGTGAATGAACAGATTTACCAGATGTAGAATAAAGCTGGCGGGTTGCATTTTTGGAAATAGAATGTATAACTGCTTTAACCTGGCTACGTTCATTGTTCCTCGAGTGGGACTTTAAAAGAAACGCATGTACTTGCAGGCGCTTTATCAGTATTTGTCTACTTGACACGTCCACTTTAATAGAAGACGGTGAATGCTTCCACAATGCTGTACCTCAACTTACTAAAAACCTCACAGAAGTAGGAAGAGTTTTATTTTCTCATTCTCTAATTTGAATTAACTAACTGCTAAGGGGAGATAGTTTCCATGCAGGATTGAGGCCTCTTAAAGATCAGAACTAAACTCCCTTTATGATCATACGGTATCTAACGCCTACTCCCAAGAAGCTAAGAGAATGGAGTGCCGAGGACTGTGACTTTTGGTCCTGTTGCCTCTGACAGCAGGAGGTCATCTATTCAGCCGCCACAGCTGTCGGTACATAAGAGTAAGTGCTATTTTAAGAACTTCTGCCCAGAAATATGTATGCCACTGTATTTCTACCGTGAGACTATTTCACCCATTTAGAACGTACTTTTTAATCCGTCATTCACTGAAGACTGGTCAAAATGCATCCCCCCTCCCTTTGCAGGAGGACTAAGAGAAAACTGTAACTTCGGTTGCACGTATAAAAAAAATGTTGCAGCACCTATTTTTTTTATGGAAGGCCATAGTTCTTCATTAAAGCGGACCTTTACTCATGTCTTTAAAATAACAACAAACACACCTTTAGTAATGTTTAGTGATGACAATCTACAAACACATACTTCTAGATAATTGCTGGCTTTGTATTGTT